ACATAATAATTTAAAAAATTTTTTTTAAATAAAAGCATTGCTAAATCAAAAAAAAAACCAAAAAAACAATGAGATATACCTTACACCTGAAGCATGGCTAAAATCAAAAAAACACAAGAAACAACAGGTGTTGAAAGGATATGGAGAAAGGGGAATCCTCTTGCACCGTTGGTAGGAATGCAAACTGGTGCAGCCACTCTGGAAAACAGCATGGAGGTTCTTCAAAAAGTTAAAAAATAGAACTACCCTACATCCAGCAATTGCACTATTGGGTATTTGCCCAAGGAATACAAAAATACTAATTCAAAGGGATACATGCATCCCAATGTTTATACCAGCATTATCTACAATAGCCAAACTATGAAAAGAGCCCATATGTCCATCGATTGATGAATGGACAAAGAAGATGTGGTATATTGGGGTGCATGACTGGCTCAGTCAGTGGAGCATGTGCCTCTTGATATTGGGGTTGTGAGTTTGAGCCCGATGTTGGGTGTAGAGATAACTTACAAATAAAGCCTTTAAAAAAAAAAAAAGAAGTTATGGTATATACATACAATGGAATATTACTCAACCATAAAAATGAAATCTTGCCATTTGCAATGACATGGATGAGCTAGACAATATTATGCTAAGTGAAAGAAGTCAATCAGAGAAAGACAAATACCATATGATTTCACTCATATGTGGAATTTAAGAAGCCAAGCAAATGAGCAAAGGGACCAAAAAAAAAAAAAAAACAGAGGCAAACCAAGAAACAGACTCAACTACAGAGAACAAACTGATGGTGACTAGAAGGGAGAGGGGTGGGGGGATGGATTAAATAAGTGATGGGGATTAAGGAGTGCACTTCTGATGAGCACTGGGTGTTGTATGGCAGTGTTGAATCACTATATTGTACACCTGAAACTAATACAACACTGTATGTTAACCACCTGGAATTTAAATTAAAACCTTTTAAATTTTTTCTGTATGTGCAAGTGGCCAACAAACACATGAAAAAAGTGCTCTACATCACTGGGCATCAGTGAAATACAAATCAAAACCACAATGAGATACCACCTCACACCAGTCAGAATGGCTAAAATTAACAAGTCAGGAAACAACAAATGTTAGTGAGGATGTGGTGAAAAGGGAACCCTCTTACACTGTTGGTGGGAATGCAAATGGTACAGCCACTCTGGAAAACAGTATAGAAGTTCCTAAAGAAGTTAAAAATAGAGCTACCCTACGACCCAGCAATCACACTACTAGGTATTTACCTCAAGATACAAACATAGTGATCTGAAGGGGTACCTGCACCCCAATGTCTATAGCAGCAATGTCCACAATAGCCAAACTATGGAAAAAGCCCAGATGTCCATCCACAGATGAATGGATAAAGAAGATGTGGTATACATATACAGTGGAATATTACTCAGCCATCAAAAAGGATGAAATCTTACCATTTACATCAACGTGGATGGAACTGGAGGGTATTATGCTGAGCAAAATAAGCCAATCAGAGAAAGACAATTATCATACAGTTTCACTCACATGTGGAATATAAGAAATAGTGCAGAAGATCATAGAAGAAGGGAAGGAAAACTGAATGGGAAGAGGGGCACCTGGGTGGCTCAGTCGTTAAGCGTCTGCCTTTGGCTCAGCTCATGATCCCAGGGTCCTGGGATTGAGCTCTGCATCAGGCTCAGGAAGCCTGCTTCTCCCTCTCCCACTCCCCCTTTTGTGTTCCCTCTCTTGCTGTCTCTCTCTTTCTCTGTCAAATAAATAAAATCTTAAAAAAAAAAAAAACTGACTGGGAAGAAATCAGAGAGGGAGACAAACAATGAGAGACTCTTAAGTATAGGCAACAAACTGAGGATTGCTGGAGGGGAGGTGGGTGGGGGATGGTGTAACTGGGTGACTGGCATTAAGGAGAGCACATGATGTGATGAGCACTGGGTATTATATGTAACTGATGAATTACTGAACTCTACATCTGAAACTAATGATGTACTATATGTTGGCTAATTGAATTTAAATAAAAACATTTCTGTACATGATAAACTACCACAAGCAAAGTCAAAAGACAAACAATAAACTGGGCAGAGGAAGATTAGCAACTCGTGCCACAGACTACTTTCCTCAATATAGTTAAAGCTCCTACAAACCAATAAGAAAAAAAAAAGAAAGAAAAATGGGCAACAGATAAGAAAAAGGTGTTCACAGAAAAGGAAATACATCTCTCATTTAAAAATAGGTGCAGAAGAAGTCAAACTCTCTCTTTTCGCAGATGACATGATACTTTATGTGGAAAACCCAAAAGACTCCACCCCCAAATTACTAGAACTCATACAGCAATTCAGTAATGTGGCAGGATACAAAATCAATGCACAGAAATCAGTTGCTTTCTTATACACTAACAACGCAACTGTAGAAAGAGAAATTAGAGAAATGATTCCATTTGCAACAGCACCAAAAACCATAAGATACGTCGGAATAAACCTAACCAAAGAGGTAAAGGATCCATACTCTAGGAACTACAGAACACTTATGAAAGAAATTGAAGAAGACACAAAAAGGTGGAAAAACATTCCATGCTCACGGATCGGAAGAATAAACATTGTTAAAATGTCTATGCTACCAAGAGCAATCTATACCTTCAATGCCATCCTGATCAAAATTCCAATGACATTTTTCAAAGTGCTGGAACAAACAATCCTAAAATTTGTATGGAATCAGAAAAGACCCCGAATCACCAAGGAAATGTTGAAAAAGAGAAACAAAGCTGGAGGCATCACGTTGCCCGATTTCAAGCTATATTACAAAGCAGTGATCACCAAGACAGCATGGTACTGGCACAAAAACAGACATATAGACCAATGGAACAGAACAGAGAGCCCAGAAATGGACCCTCAACTTTATGGTCAACTAATCTTTGACAAAGCAGGAAAAAACATGCAATGGAAAAAAGACAGTCTCTTCAATAAATGGTGCTGGGAAAATTGGACAGCCACATGCAGAAGACTGAAACTCGATCATTCTCTAACACCATTCACAAAGATAAACTCAAAGTGGATGAAAGACCTCAATGTGAGACAGAATCCATCAAAATCCTAGAGGAGAACATAGGCAGTAACCTCTTTGACATCGCCCACAGCAACTTCTTTCAAGATACATCTCCAAACGCTAGTGAAACAAAAGCAAAAATGAACTTCTGGGACTTCATCAAGATAAAAAGCTTCTGCACAGCAAAGGAAACAGTCAACAAAACAAAGAGGCAACCCACAGAATGGGAGAAGATATTTGTAATTAACACTACAGATAAAGGGCTGGTATCCAAGATCTATAAACAACTTCTCAAACTCAACACCCAAAAAACAAATAATCAAGTCCAAAAGTGGGCAGAAGATATGAACAGACACTTCTCCAAAGAAAACATACAAATGGCTAACAGACACATGAAAAACTGTTCATCATCATTAGCCATCAGGGAAATTCAAATCAAAACCACATTGAGATACCACCTTACACCAGTTAGAATGTCAAAAATGGACAGGGAAAGAAACAACAAATGTTGGAGAGGTTGTGGAGAAAGGGGAACCCTCTTACACTGTTGGTGGGAATGCAAGTCGGTACAGCCACTTTGGAAAACAGTGTGGAGGTGCCTCAAAAAGTTAAAAATAGAGCTACCCTATGATCCAGCAATAGCACTCCTGGGTATTTACCCCAAAGACACAGATGTAGTGAAAAGAAGGGCCATATGCACCCCAATGTTCATAGTAGCAATGTCCACAATAGCCAAACTGTGGAAACAGCCGAGATGCCCTTCAACAGATGAATGGATAAAGAAGATGTGGTCCATATATACAATGGAATATTACTCAGCCATCAGAAAGGATGAATACCCAACTTTTATATCAACATGGATGAGACTGGAGGAGATTATGCTAAGTGAAATAAGTCAAGCAGAGAAAGTCAATTATCATATGGTTTCACTTATTTGTGGAACATAAGGAATAGCATGGAGGACATTAGGAGAAGGAAGGGAAAAATGGGGGGGGGGAATTGGAGGGAGAGATGAACCATGAGAGACTATGGACTCTGAGAAACAAACAGGGTTTTAGAGGGGAGGGGGGAGGGAGGATTGGTTAGCCCGGTGATGGGTATTAAGGAGGGCACATACTGCATGGAGCACTGGGTGTTATACGAAAACAATGGATCGTGGATCACCACATCAAAAACTAATGATGTATTGTATGGTGACTAACATACATAATAAAATTAAAAAATAAAAATAAGTGCAAATTATTTTACTTTTCTTTTTTTATATTTTTTTTAATTTATTTATTTTTTTTTACTTTTATTATGTTATGTTAGTCACCATACAATACATCATTAGTTTTTGATGTGGTGATCCATGATCCATTGTTTTCACATAACACCCAGTGCTCCATGCAGTATGTGCCCTCCTTAATACCTATCACTGGGCTAACCCATTCCCCCACCCCCTCCCCTCTAAAACCCTCAGTTTGTTTCCTAGAGTCCATGGTCTCTCATGGTTCATCTCTCCCTCCAATTTCCACCCCCTTCAGTTTTCCTTTCCTTCTCCTAATGTCTTCATGCTATTCCTTATGTTCCACAAATAAGTGAAACCATATGATAATTGACTTTCTCTGCTGGACTTATTTCACTTAGTATAATCTCCTCCAGTCCCAACATGTTGATGTAAAAGTTGGGTATTCATCTTTTCATATATGTTTTATTTTTTTTTAAAGATTTTATTTATTTATTTGACAGAAAGATAGAGAGTACAAGTAGGCAGAGAGGCAGGCAGAGGGAGAGGGAGAAGCAGGCTCTCCGCTGAGCAGGGAGCCCGATGTGGGACTCGATCCCAGGACCCTGGGATCATGACCTAAGCCGAAGGCAGCCGCTTAACCGACTGAGCCACCCAGGCACCCCTTCATATATGTTTTAAAGAGAAAAAGTGTAAGACAGAGACCTCCACCTGTGGTCCTTACCGGGATCCCTCAAGCTGGACCACGCTGTGCCCGAAGCTCCTTGCGTTGTCTTGGAAGATCGTTGCTTTTTCAGTCTCCAGGTTGAACCCATCACTTAGTAAGACCAAGGCTAAAGGAAGGAGAAGGGCTGAGGGTCAGGCAGGGTTAAGAAGATAAAGCAACTTGCCCTCCTGCTCCATGCATCCACCTGCTGAAATTCACCCTAACCCAGCATGGAAATGTCTGCCTCCCAGGTCCAGCTCTGTTAGCCTGAGGCAGAGATTAGCACACTTTTTCTATAAAGGGCCAGATAATATTTTAGGTTTTGTGGTCCAAAAAAACAAGAGAGAAAATGCATTTCCACAAATTTTTCAATAAGGAAATAGAAAACATAATAATTGAGTACCAATAAGGGGCGCCTGGCTGGCTCAGTCAGTAGAGCCTGTGAGCCTTGATCTCGGGTTTGTGGGTTCAAGCCCTATGTTGTGTGTAGAGATTGCTTAATAAAATCCTTTTAAAAAATTTATTAATGAGACAAATGGAATTCTTTGGGGAAGATAACCTCACTTCACTGGGATTCAAAGTTAGATTCCCTATCATGAATTGATTCTAAATGCTCATTTGAGGGGCACCTGAGTGGCTCAGTGGGATGAGCAACCGACTCTTGATCTCAGTTCAGGCCTTGATCTCAGGGTCCTGAGTTCAAGCCCCACATTGAGCTCAATGCTGGGTGTGGAGCCTACTTTAAAAAAATTAAAAATAAAAATAAATAAATATCTGAGACCTATGGCTTACAGGTCATACAAAAACAAGTGGGAGGAAGCCTCCCCCAATGCCTACAAGGCATAGTTTGCTGATTCCTGGCCTAAGGACCCCCAAAGTAGGGTGCATTCAGCCAGTCTCTGAACTCCACCCTCTGCTCCCACCCTGCTGATTTGCCCAACAATCAAGTTCCTAAAGACTCTCAATTAGGCAATTTCTTTCCTATGCAATTCCCAAGCACTTTTTTCCTTCTTTTTTTTTTTAAGATTTTATTTATTTATTTATTTGACAGAGGAAGATAGCGAGAGCAGGAACACAAGCAGGGGGAGTGGAAGAGGAAGAAGCAGGCTTCCCGCCGAGCAGGGAGCCTGATGTGAGACTCGATCCCAGGACCCTGGGATCGTGAACTGAGCCGAAGGCAGACACTTAACAACTGAGCCACCAGACGCCCCCTTTTTTTCCCTTCTTTGGTTCATTCTCCACAAAGCATAGGCATAAAAGGAAACAAAATTGAATCATTTTGGTCATTCAACAAACATTTACACCTGGATCCTTGGAAAATAGAACTCTGGGCAAAGTGAAGGTGATAAGATGGAATTGAAGAAGAAACACTCAGAATCCAATATGTGTTGTGCACCTTGGGCATACCATTCCACCTCTCTCGAGCCTCAGTTTCCTAATCTGTAAAGTGAAGGGGCCAGCCAAACCCCATTGCAAAGTCTATGAATTTAATTATTCATCCAAGCTTCTCTGGGCATTCCATCTTGGTCTGGTTCTAATCTCTGCTTCATTTTGAATCCCTTATCCTTCTCCAAATCCCCTTCATCTTCCCCCAGGCTAGATATTCTGTGCCCTCTCTCTCCACTCAGACTCAAAATATCCCTTCCTCACCTTGAGGGCCCCCCTCCAAGTCCCTGGTGTACCTGTTAACAGAAGGATTCTGTGAGTCATAGCTGGAGGGAGCAGGAACTGTGGGGCTGCATGCACCACTGAACCACTTCAAGGAAGCCACCAAAGACAGGAAGGACGGAAAAGGAGAAGTTGGTGACAGAAATCTGTTAGCGATTCAAAGGAAGAGGGCGGGGGCTCAGTGAGCATGCAAGCCCTGCTTGACCTTCTTGGGGCTACAAGCAGCCTGTGCTCCCTTCCTCACCAGACTCTTGGCTCAAATCATCAAGATCATTGTCCCAGGGGTGCCTGAGTGGCTCAGTCGTTAAGTGTTTGCCTTCAGCTCAGGTCATGATCCCAGGGTCCTGCGATCGAGCCCCACATGGGGCTCCCTGCTCTGCGGGGAGCCTGCTTCTCCCTCTCCCACTCCCTCTGCTTGTGTTCCCTCTTTCACTGTGTCTCTCTCTGTCAAATAAATAAATAAAATCTTTAAAAAAAAAAAAAAGATCATTGTCCCAAATGATGTGGGAAACAAAGGCAGAAGAAAAAATTATTAAATTTCCTTACTACCTACAGCCCATTGACAAGTCCTTGAAACATGCAGAGTGACCTTCCTCTAGGGACTCAGCTGCCTCGATGTTAATACTATGCTAAGGACAAAAGGCAATCCTAGCCTGACAAACACCCCCCCCCCCAAGATCCTGTAAGTCTACTTTAACGTATAAAACTTCCTTTGGAAACTTCCTTTATCTCTAAAACCCCCAAGATACGTTTTGGCAATCATCCCCCAAGCATATGGCCCACCAATACACATCTGAAGGGTCTCATGACTAAGGTTTTATTAGATAGTAATAAATGACCTTTTCCCAACAATAGCTAGCTCTGTCAAGGTCCTGGAAACCTTGCTTCCAAAATTCCTTAGAGACTTATGCTATCCCTAACCCCTTCCCAACTTGAGAGTATAAAATGGACCACTCCTCATGACCCCATTGCAGTTCTTTCTGCCCATGGGTTCTGTCCCCGTGCTTTAATAAAATCACCTTACTGCACCAAAGATGTCTCAAGAATTCTTTCTTAGCCTTCCGCTTCAAACCCTAACATCTTTCCTACATCACCAAAGGTGTTCTTTTTTTAAAAGCCCACCTGCTTCTAGGGTTGGCCAAGGATTATGAAAATCAAGCTAAATAGACTTAGGGCCTGCTTCCTGGACCATGTGTCTAAACATTAATACAGACCAAGTATGTGTGGGAGGTCACACTGTTTCTCCCTGAAAGCACACTTTGCAAAATGTCCTTGCCTCATGCCCAAAGAAACAAGGAGTACCCTTCAGCCAGTGCTGTCTTCCTTTTGTAGCCATCAGAAAGGACAATTCAGGTACAGAGAAACCCAGTGCTTTTTGAATATTATTTTGCTTTAAAAAAAAAAAACTAATGAATTGTTGAACACTACATCAAAAACTAATGATGTACTTACTATATGTTGGCTAACTGAACATAATAAAAAAAAATTTTTTTTTAAGCCTCAAACCCTTTGTCCAGGAGTTTTCACTTCCAGAAATTTATCCCAAGAAAGAGTTGAGAAGTACAGTCAAAAATGATGTATGTACAAGCTTGTTCATTGTGGCATTGTTTTTATAATGAAAAACAAGAAACAGCCTAAATACCCAACAACAGAGGGATGGTTGAATGATGCCTCACTCTATGATATATCCTTGCATTCCATCATGTCTACTCACTTCTAAATCTGTTTTCAAAGACATGGGATCATAATTTCATGTGTTAACCTTCAAGACAAAACTGTCAGTTATTTTATCAGCAAAACTGGGTTTATTCAGGAATAGTAGAAATTACAATTTGAGACTTACAAGCTATGGCAAAACCAGAGGCAAGTTCCAAAAACAAAGGACAGGAAAGCTCTTTTACAGAGGAAAGGAGGGAGTTGGGAGGGGCTGTTATAAACAAAAAGTCCATTGGAGTAAACTGGGAATGCCAAGTGTAGTGACTTTTCATTGCTGAATTGGGACAGTCTCTCATTGGCAGGCTGTTGGTTGGCAAGGAGAAAATCTTTTTTCCTCGTGCTGGAGGAAAAAAATATAAAGTACTGGAGGCACGTACTGCATGGAGCACTGGGTGTTATACAAAAACAATGGATCGTGGATCACCACATCAAAAACTAATGATGTATTGTATGGCGACTAACATAACATAATAATACATACATACATACATACATACATACATACATACATACATACATAAATAAAGTATAGCTGTCTTCCTATTGTGAATGTAGGTCTTTTCCTGTCGGGGTCTGCAACTGACCATGAGCAGGAGGGTGTGAAAGCTCCCCTTCCTGGCCTCCTGGCTCCATTTTAAGTGAGCTTTCCTTTATTCAGTCACACACAAATACATAGAATACCAAACTGTACCTTGTATGTGACTGCTAATGTGATTCCCCAAGCCAGTGATTTTTTCACTCTATCTCTAACACATTTTCTCTTGCCCCTAGTCCTACCTTCTTAATAGAGCAAATGAATGTTGGTCCTCTGAAAAAAATCCATAAAAATTCTATACATTTTTAATAAAATTGCTTATTTAAAAATATGTGTGTGTAAGAAAACCAAAATGTTAATAGTGGTTATCTTTGGATGGTTGGATTATGGATTTGTTCCAGTCATTTATTGCTACATAACAAACCACTCCAAATTTTAGTGACTTATTGTGTCATGGTCTTGTGGATTGTCCAGTTTCAGCAGTTCTCATTAAGGAATCTCACATGATCACAGTCAGATCATGACTAAGACTAGAGTCATCCAAGGCTCAGTTGGGCTTGACTTTCAAAATTGGTCACTCACATGGCCAGCAGTTGGTGCAGGTGGGGGCTCAGTTGGGACTGTTGACTGAAGTACCTCCATGTGGCCTCTCTAGGTTCCTTGGGCTTCTCACGGCATAGTGATTAGATTCCAAGAGTAAGTGTTCTAAAAACAATAATCAAAAGTGTCCAGTCTCATAAGATTACTATTTGAAAACTGCCACAGGGTCTCTTCCACCATATTCTTTTGGTCAAGCAGTCACAGAGCTCATCCACATCCAAGGAGAGGGGACATAGATCCCACTTCTGAGTGGGAATTGTATCAAAGAATTGTGGTCTATTTTAATCAGCCAAGGATGATTTTAATTTTCTTCTATATTTTTTGTTTTTAAAACTTTTATACAAAAAAAATAATGGCTTTTATAATCAGAAAGAAAAGAAAAACACCAATAAATAATTTTTTTTAAAAAGTGCCTATACATGTTAGCAGGAAAAGGGGCTGAGGAAAGAGGAATAAGGCCATAGGCCCTGGATGAGGGGGGAAATCAGAGGGAGAGATGAACCATGAGAGACTATGGACTCTGGGAAACAAACTGAGGGTTTCAGAGGGGAAGGGGGTGTGGGGATGGGTTAGACCAGTGACGGGTATTAAGGAGGGCACGTACTGCATGGAGCACTGGATGTTATATGAAAACAATGAATTGTGGATCACCACATCAAAAACTAATGATGTATTATATGGTGACTAACATAACATAATAAAATAAAATTTAAAAAAAGATACCAATCAGGGTGTGGAGGAATAATTTCATGAATATGCTTGGTTTGTTTGGTAAAAGCTTTCACACTCTGACCACCACAGGATGCTGCTATAGCTCAGACATCAGGGCCTATTTTTGCCCTGATCAGTGGCCAAGGGCCCACTATCTATAAAGACATGGCTAAAATTTCAGAATGTCTATCCAACCCACAGAGCCTTTCTCATTTACTCAGCAATGGGTGTGCACCTGACCAGGTGACCACAGGTGGACACCTGTCTATAGGGCCCCAGCAATTTCCTCTCATCCATTCCTCAGCCCCACTCCTGATAAAATCTTAGCTTGGGTTCCACTGTAAATGGACCCTGAGACAAGGATCCAAGTGCAAGTAATTTATTTGGGAGGTGATACAGAAAATACTGGTGCAGACATGGAAACAGGAAAGAACTCCTAAAAAATATGTGATGAAAAAGTTACCACTATAGACAATTGGAGCTCGATACCCTGAGGAACTCTGGAAGCCAGTGTAAAACATGCCTCAGAGTTATCCACCTGAGGGACAAGGGGGTCTAGATTCTTACCCACAATTCAAATCAGCTATTAGTTGAGGGGTGCTCTCTGGAGTAGCCTTAATTCTCTGGTTCTCCCAACCTGCCTGCACCAGGCAGAGAAGGCTCCAGAGGCAGAAAGAACCCTCAGGCAAGCACTTACAGGCAATGACAGCTAGAAATCTGGCCAGCTTGCATGAGAATGTTAAATACTGATGGCATATGAGTGCAGAAACTACAATGTCTGATACAGATACTCACATGTTTTTTCATAGAACTTATCATTACATGAAATTACATTATATATTTATTTAGTTTTTTTACTGTCTAACCCCCAACTAGAGTATATAAGCTCCCTGAGAGCAGAGATTCTTGTGTGTCTTGATCATCACTCTATTTCCAGTGCACAGAACAGTGGCTGGCTCATAATAAAGATTCATAATAAAAATTAATTGAGGGGCACCTGGGTGGCTCAGTCTTTAAGCATCTGCCTTCCGCTCAGGCCATGATCCCAGGGTCCTCGGATCGAGCCCCGCATCTGGCTCCCTGCTCAGAGTGGGGCCTGCTTCTCCCCCTCCCACTTCCCCTGCTTGTGTTCCCTTTCTCGCTATGTCTCTCTCTGTCACATAAATAAATAAAATCTTTTTTTAAAATTAAAATAAAAAAATTAATTGTGGCCGATGTCAAAGAGGCTACTGCCTATGTTCTCCTCTAAGATTCTGATGGATTCCTGTCTCACATTGAGGTCTTTTATCCATTTTAGTTTATCTTTGTGTATGGTGTTAGAGAATGGTTGAGTTTCATTCTTCTGCATGTGGATGTCCAATTTTCCCAGCACCATTTATTGAAGAGACATTTTTCCATTGCATATTTTTTCCTGCTTTGTCGAAGATTATTTGGCCATAGAGTTGAGGGTCCATATCTGGGCTCTCTATTCTGTTCCATTGATCTATATGTCTGGGGGTTTTGTTTTGTTTTGTTTTGTTTTTTATTATTTTTTTAATTTTTTAAATTTTATTATG